ATATAATTAGTATTTTTTATATATCTGATAGTATTTATATTATAAATAGTTTTTTTTTATTTTATAAATTTTTATATAATTCTTATAGAATATTGAATTATTGATCTTGCTTCCGCAGCAGTGACCTGTTGGTGATGATATTAGAAGTTGGAAGGGTTTTCATCTGAACTACTAATAGAGTGATAAATTAATCTTGAAGCTGCATTTAGAGTTCCAGATAAATATAAGACATTGATGAGTGAGTTAGTTAGAAATTTAGCTTTAGTGACACATATATAATATATAGCTTACAATTGTTTAATAAAGTACACATAACTAGTTTGACAGAGGGTTATATTAAAAAAAATTGAATTATTGATCTTGCTATTGTGATCTAAAAGTTTATTACTATACTATAAATCTACAGATTTATATAAAGATTTAATAAATTATATAAAGATAATTAAAATATAGAAAAAATAATAGTAAAATATCAATAATATATTATAAATATATATACAGTATATATAAATAATTTAGTCAATTTAACAAAGTACTTAGAATGCTCAAAAGGTATTACAATAAATGGTTATTATTTTATTAGAGTACATATAGAAAAACTTTACTAAAAAAACTTAAAGTTTAAGAATATAATATATTAAAATTATTATGAAAAATTAAATTAAATTATAATATAGTATATAGTTCAAAACAAGTTTTATAAAAAGAGTTTATAATAAAAAAGTTATTCAAATAATAATAGAAAATTAAAAAGAAAAGATTAGTCAAAAAATATTAAAGAAAGTATATATTAGAATTAATTGATATAATACTTCAACAAAATATAAAAATATAAAAAAGTTAATATTTTATTCAAATAAATCTCTGCTCAATTATAATAAAGAAAAAGTAAAAATAGAAACAACATAAATTCAAATAAAAGATATTAAAAAAGAAAATAGAACTAATAATATTAATTATAATTTTTTAGTAGTATCTATAAATAGAATAATTAAAATTTTTACTAAAGAAAGAAGATTCTAGAATTATATATAATTAATAATTGAAAGAAAAAATTGATTCTTTTGAACAAGAATATTAAATTTTATAATAAACAATATAAATCTAAAGTTTATCAAATTAAAGTATATTTAAATAATATATATAATGAAATAGTTAATATTTAGTTAAAGAAGCCTTAAAGTTTTTTATAATTAAATAGTAAAATCTTGCTTTAATTAATTACAAAAATAAATAATAGAACAATAGTTTATCTATAAACTTAATAAAAAAATAGATAATTATTAAAATTAATAAATATATAATTAATAAACTTACTCATGAAATTTAATATAGAAAAGTTTAAAATCAAAATTAATATAAAATATATTTTTAAAAACTTTAAAAAAAAAGTTTTTTATTAAAATAATTGATAATAAATTATTAATTTTAATAATATTAGGAGCAAGAAAACTAGATTTTTATAAGTAGAATAATATATAAAATATAATGAATATAAAAAACAATAATATACTGTATTTAATAGAATCTTATTTTATAAAAAGATATTATTAAAAGTAAGTTTGCATAAACTTTTAAAAATTATAAAAAAAAAAAAAGAAAAAATGATGCATAAAAAAGTAATATTTAATTACTAATAAACAATAGAAGAAAATTGAAAAACTTAACAAATAATTAGACTATATAGTAAAATAATTTTTAAAAGAAAGTTAAAATATGCTTAAATTTTGTATTAGACTAATAAGAAATAATCCAAAACTAAGCAATTGAATTAAATTATTATAAAAAGAATATTGATTTATAAGAAAAAAATGGATATTTAGAATATAAAAAAAAGTTTATAATAGCTTTTGAAAAAAAAGTATAAAATATATGATATAAAAAATATTAAAATAAAAATAAGTTCAAAGAATTAATAAAACAATCAACTCAAAAGACTGGAATAATTATTTAATATAAAAAAATAAAATAAAAAAAAAACTATATGAAAGATAGAATAAGAAAAAATAAAAAATGCTTTATTTTAATTATAACAAATGAAATTAAGTATATATAAAATAATTAGATTTGATTTATTAGAACTTAATAAAATAATCTACAATAGTAACTTGCAAATAATAATATTAATAATTGAAAGAGGTTTTATTTAAACTATTAATAAAGCAATAAATTACTTTTAAAATTATATTTAGAGTTAATCAAATTATGACAAGTTAGCTTTTTACAGATTTAATTTTAGTAATACTCTAAAAAAATATGTAATCTATAAATATTTAATAAAGTATACTGCATATAACTAGCCTAATAAAAGATTAAAATAAATAAATAAATAAATATAACTTTATATTAAACTTTTTTTTTTAATTTTGTATAAGAAATTTTATACTTTTATATCAATAAAGTTTAATTAATTTTTTTAAAATAATTTGAATAATAATTTTAAGAGTTTTTTTTATATTTCTTTTTTTTTTTTTATATTTTATTTTAAATTAAAACTTGACTTTCAATAATTAAAAAAGGTCAAAAAATATTTTTTTATTTATAACAAGAAAGTTTTAATAAGAAGAATAATTAATAATATAATATTAAAATTTATTTTCTAAAATAAAAATATAATATTATTATGGGATAAAAAACTATAGATTGAGACTTGTGTACTGATAAGGGAACCATATATGTCTGACAAAGCATGGAAAGTTTAACAAAGTTTAGGGTTAGCATAGCTAATTATAAAGTAGATAGTTTATTGTTAGTTAGAAAAGTATAAATAATTTATCAATATATATAAAAAAGGCAGTATTAAATATATTAGAAAACAGTCCTTATTGTGAATAGAGATAAGAGTTAGTGATATACAAAAAAAACAAAATACGAATAAAGAGATACTTATCTTTAGTCAAGTCAATTACTACACTTCTGCCTTTTCTAAGTGTTCTTTATAGGAGGTGTTCTCTTCTTTGTATTAGTTGTGAGTATTTGTGAGTCATCTGGATTACATGAGATATTACAGATTAGTGATAGACTCACTGGATTAGTCTATGACAATATATATAAAAATTTAATAAAATAGAAAAATGTTTAAACAAAAGTCTAAACCTTTAAAACTTTTCTATTTTTTGTTTTTATCTTTTTATAGTTGCTTATTTTTTAACTTTTGGTAGAAATAATTAATTAATATAAAATATATTAGTAATAGAATGTAAACTTCTTATTATAGAATATTAAAAATATAATTAAGCGTTGTATTAATAAGATGAAGATATTAATATTCAAAGATAACATTATAATAAATTCAATAAATTAATTACAAAAACTCATAAATAATTAAATTAATTTCAACAATCAAAAATATCTTTTGACTTATAAAATTTCTTATATAGAATACTTAATTAAACAAATATCAAGAAATATTTAATGAAAAAGATTGTGAAATTATATAAAAAGATAAGAAAAAGAAAAAACAACACCAATTTTTTATAGAATAAATACAAAACTAAGAATCGAATAAAAAAAAACTTAGATTTAATAAATATAAGTAATATTTTCTTATTTTTAAATGAATGTGTTAATGAAACTTGACATGTCAGTTAATTTTGCAAGAGAAATAATAAACCATAAGGAATTTAAAAAACCAATTGGTTTTATAGAATAGTGATAAAGAATCATATAAGAAAAATAAGTCTATAAAATCATTATCAAATCGAGTAATATGTACTTTATTACATCCAATAAAGTAGAACGATATTATATTTTTTAATATATACATTTACTATATATTATATAATATAATAAGAAACAATTTAATTAGACAAATTGATGTGAAATAACTTATAGAATTTGTATCTATTAATATACAGTATATAATATTAAAATCAGTACACGAGAAACTTTAAAAATACAAAAATTATAAAAAATACAAATAACTGTCCTCTAATCAATCATTCAAACCATTTATGCATCAAGTATTTGGATTATATCAAACATCCTCTCGTTATTTTATACTAACTATTTTAAAAAACGAGAATTTTCATAGCACTGAAATGATATTTTTCGATGCATCGGATCAGACCATTCGGTAATTCCATTTCGATCATTTTCAACCACTTCGGAGGCGCAGAAATGTGTTGTGGTTTGCAAGCACCATTGTGTGGTTTTTCTAGAAATTACTGAAGTCCGAATAAACTTTCGGGGATTTTTGCAAGTCTCCAATTACGTTCCGTCCAAGGTTTCGTGATACAAAATATGCAATTATACTTTTATTTTGGTCGGCTCTCATATTCCGGAGTGCTGACTAATATTGATTATATTATTCTGGGAATTAATTTTCTTGCAATGTTCTCACGGGATGGTAAGTAGTAAATGAAAAATCCTAAAAAGGTAAAACCTTTTCACTGATAATCTTTATCACAATGCACATAGTCGATTCGTGTTTGACAAACTGGTAAATTTTCTCATCAAATGACTCGTAAAGGTAATAAACGTCAGCGCCAAGAAAATTTCATGTACGTTATTACATGCATCTTTTAAAATTATTTTTAGTAATGTACGGTATTACTTGTACTGTACTACGATAACATGTGAATTTCGAACGTAACAGAGTAAACAAATTATGGTAGGACAAACCCGATCTCTCTTTACAAGTCACTAGACCTAATTTCGAAGATTCAAGTCTGTATAACAGTATTCTTTTAAGCCGTTGTTTATGCCTTTAACGAAGATAGTTATTACAACGGGTATCTTCTAATATTATAATAGCAAGAATACTATTGTAGAAGTGTTTTCTTCTACAACCAAATCTTTAAAATTCTATTACCGTATTTTAATATTATATGATTGGCACAGTATGTGTATAGTAATTAACTTTAGGCATTTTAATAAAACAACCTAACGATCGATCGCTTAAATGTTATCTGTAATATTATCTTTAATGGTACCATGAAAATCCCTTTAAAAAATATAGAGAATATATTGTATGCGCGTATTGTAATATTAATTATATCTTAAATAATAATGACGTGAATTTCGACAATTCCCATGGTTTTCGTAAACAACAATCCAAATTCGTTTTCGGTTCTAAAATTAACCTCAAGTTTTCTGGCTTCAACTCTCTTCACACTTGACTTTGTAACAATAAAATCTTCCAATCTTTCGAGTGTATCCCTTTGCAATAAAAATTTAATATCAGGAAGGTCGTCAGATTCGGAATCTACATCAACACTACTTTTGAATTTAAGTGATTCTTCCGAAGACGGCAGATAGATCCATTCGTGAGGATCAGATTGATGTTCAAGCTCAGAAGTAATGTTTTGCGGCGTCACAATATTTGGCGTTAAGTAGAATGTAACTTCTCGGTGAGCACGTTTAGCGTGACGCTTTAAAAATGGTAAAATGACATCCGTTACCAGAGTGTCCATCCTAACATAAGAAAAGTGTTTGCTATTTGAACTGATTCCTCATCTCAAATTAAGGACGGAAAAAGTTTCATACTTACTTCCGGATAGAAACCTCAAGAACTGTGTCCTTTAATAGGCTGTTGTGAACTCTTTTCTCATCTCTATAGGGACCGGGAAACTTGTTCACTGTCGCTTCGTAACTAGGCAACTCATCGCTTTCTCTTACACCTTCCGTTAAATTGTCATATGGAATCCCAAATTCTTGCAATTGCAGTTCGACAACCTCGCGAGCAACATTTCTAGGCACGACAAGTCGTTTGTAACGAAGAAAATCAAGTATCACACTAAATGCAAGAGGGTTGTGATCAATAAATATCTCGATACCCCCTGAACCACTATTAATCAACTCCGCCAAACGACTTTTCGGGTAGGCTTGTACTAGATATCTATTAATTTCGAATTTCGTGCCTCCTACGTTAAACAATACAGTATCTTGAGGCATTTCGAGAAAATGTTTTTGTGAAATGGGTGAAGAGTTGAGCGGAGTTCTCTCAACGCATTCGTATATCTATTAAGCGTCACTCATTACACCAAATCCTATTTTATACATATAATGGCGCCTTGTTGATGTTTATTGCATCAAAAGATATTGTCATTTTCAGAGAAATAAAGAGTCGGAGAATCGGATGTTGATGTTGTCCAACTCTGGTAAGAAATTTTTCAGATAAATTCGCGTTTCCCCCCTCTTCTTTGCTCACCAAAATAATTGACAATCGAATTCTCAAAAACACCATCTCATAGAAGCCTTTCGCAAATCCTTTCTTTAAATTCTTTGAATTCTTTTATTTATCTAGTCGGAATATAACTCCTCCTTGGTTAAAATGTTTAGAATCAGGTAACGAGCGTATTAATATCTATTCGTATCTCAATCGATAATCATATTGCTTCGGGCCCTCTAATCGCCTCCTTACCACTTTCCGACAGCGACCCCAACCAATACTTGGTTAAAACCGGTGCATTCATTAAAGATGTATCTCTTCAAAAGAAGGGATGGGTGATGCCCGGTCAACGTTCTATTTTTTTTGACATCACCCCTCAAAATTATACCCTACAACTTCAAGCCATGACGGCTGAAAAATTAGAATTTAGTCTTCCCGCCGTATTCACGATAGGGCCAAGGGACGAACCCGCCTGCTTGAAGAAATATGCCAAATTATTGGCCACGAATCACAAAAATTCCGACGCTCACGTCAAAGAATTAGTCAAAGGTATCATCGAAGGCGAAACTAGAGTTATAGCTGCTGCAATGACTATGGAAGAAATTTTCCAAGAGAGGAAAGGGTTCAAGGAGCAAGTAATCAAGAATGTACAAGAAGAACTTAACCAAGTATGCTGTTTTTTTTTTTTTTTTTCAAAAAATTATTAAAATCAAATGTACAAACAAACAAAAAAAAAGGCCGCTTATTTAATCTTTTTTTTTTTCAATAGTTTGGTTTGTTCATTTATAACGCGAATGTAAAACAATTGCAAGATACTCAAGGTTCCGAGTACTTTAAGTACATGGTAAGTAACCAAGATTAGAATATACAGTATATAAATCGACATTCTCACATAAACATGCACATCTGAACAATAGAGGCAAAAAACCCATGAAGGTGCTATAAATAGTGCCAAGGTTGATGTAGCCGAGGCAAAATACCGTGGTGATGTTGGTGCAAAGCAGAGAGAAGGGTTGACAAGACAAGAGACGTAAGTATCTTGTGTAAACGCATGAAATCAAAAAGGGGGGATTCTGACAGACGTTCACGATCCCGTTACGTAGTACGAAAATTGAAGCCGACACGGTTATCATTGAGAATGAGCGTAAGGTTACCATGGCACAAGCCGAAGCGAACCTTGAAACAAAGAAGTCCGAATTTGATAGACAGATTAAAATCGCCGGTAGTTATTGGTTTAATTCTTGAGTCGAGTGTGATTTGAATTACTCGCATGCCAACATAATTGTCAATTTCTCATCCTTCTTCATAGCTATCGAAGCCTCGCAAGCAGCAAAAATGAGAGAAAGCGAGCTTCAAAAAGAAGTTGAAGAACGAAGACTTCTGTCTGAGACAGAAAGGCTTCGCGTTCAATATGTCGCAAAAGCTACAGCAGAATATGAAGCGGCCAAGGCTGTCGCCAATGCCAAACTTTACACTGCGCAAAAGGAAGCCGAGGCTAGTTTATATAAAAAACAAAAAGAAGCCGAGGGTGTACTCGCTCTCTACAATGCCCAAGCCGAGGGTATAAGAAATTTAATGCAATCCTTTGGTGGAGACTCGAATGCTGCTTTACAATATATTATGATCGATCGTGGTATCTACACACAATTGGCCAAAGAGAATGCTGCAGCAATTCAAAACTTAAAACCAAATATTACCGTGTGGAATACTGGCGGTGGTCATAATGAAAATCCTATTGCAAACATCTTCCAGTCTTTACCCCCACTTTTATCAACTATTCAAGAGCAGACTGGAATTTCCCCTCCTTCTTGGATTGCTCAGATGCCTAATGCCAAAACTCCGTTGTCTAAAAACAGTTAAATTCGAAAACTCAATTCGAGTATTAACCAACTTTCTTTATCGGATATTATATATTTTACATATACCATATACATATTTTATTATTTTATCTTAAGACTTATTGCACCGGACTATCCGGTGATGTACAAAGAAAGAAAGATGTGCCGAATTACTTTTACATGTATAAAGTATATGGGTGCGTCAATTTAATCGCGCCAAGTTTTATCTTTGATCACAGAGAATCCAATAAATTTTAAATTGAAAAATACATTACATTGATTGTGTGTTCTTTTCATATTTCATTTATTGTAAAATTTATTAGTTGAGTCATTTAATGTCTCACGTGACTTACCGAGTCTTAGCCACTATGATGTCTAAAAAGGATAATAGTCAAGACTCATAATTATTTCCCATTTTCATATAGAAAGGTTTGCAACAAAATTTCATAAATGGTAAGTTTAAAGGTTATTTTATTTTTTGATTTACTCATAACTGCGCATAAAATTTTTCAATAGAAGTACTGTAAATCAAAAGAATGGTGATGGATAATTGTAAACACGTTTGCCACAACAGTTATGCATCGCATAAATCTTGGAAGAATACCAAAGTCGGCAAATTTCGACTGAAATAATGTTTCAATGCAAAATTGTTGGGATGACTTTACCTTTATGTTTATCAAATTTATTGTAAAATATCAAACGAATATACTGTATTTCCTAAAAAAATAAAAAAAAAATTTTTTTTTTTTTATTTTTGATTCTTTTTACGCATTAATATTCAAGGAAAAATGTTTTTTAAAAATAAGCATTTTTATGAACCCTTATAATAGCAGGACCAGGATTATGACAGAGGTTTTATTCATTACAGATACAGTATGTCTAAAGCCCACGAACAAAAAATCGATATAAAAACTTAGATCTCATTCGCGCTTATACTCTTGAAGAATTTGAATTTATCAACGATCAACTAGAAACGCATACATTGGAAATCATGTTAATCTTTTCGAGCTCAGTGAAGAAGGAAAACTTATTCCAATGCCACAAGTTACTGAATTAAAAATCGATTGCCTTCTATGTGATGAAAGTTTTACCGATCATTACGTATTTATAAAACACTATAAAACGCGTCATGCTTGGAAGCATAGGTGCAGAAATTAGAAAACACACTTTTTAATTTTTTCTGATACTTGGTTAATATTAATACAGCACTAACATTTAAATATAAATCTAATGTATTTTATTTTAATAAAAATACATTAATTATAACATTAAATTAAACATATACAGTTCAGTGCAAAAGTCTTTGGACTGATATTTTTTATTATAATTTAATAAATAATTATTGAATTTGAATAAAACTTTAATATTT